GGGCAGAGGGCGAAGAGAGGAACCACCGAGGCCTCCCAGAGGGGACGAGTCCGAGCAGGTGGGACCAGAAGATCGCGCCGCATCGCCAATACATCGGTGATGCCGGCGACGCATCGGCGACGTCGCGTGGAGAAACTCCGGCTCCACATCGAGCCGCACTGCCGATGCATCGGCGATGCGGCGCGCTCCTCCGACCCCACCCACTTCAAGCCCACCTGGGAGGCCCAGAGGGACGCTGGGGAGAGAGAGAGAGAGAGAGAGAGGGCCGAGGGGGCAAAGCTGGAAGCAGGGGGAGGCGGGGGGAGAGGGGGGGGCAGAAGCGAGGAGGGGGGGGGGGGGGGGCGAGGGGGGGGGGCAGGGAGGGGAGCAAGAGAGGAGGCCGGGGGCGCCTCGGTGAAGATCCTCGCCGGCGGAGCGCTGGTCCAGCCCCCCGCCTCCGACGAGCCGTCGGCCTCGCCGCAGGGCCGCCCGCAGGCCGAGTGGGCAGGAGGAGGGCGGACGGGGCCCAGCAGGAGGAGGAGTCGACGACGACGACGACGACGACGACGAGGACGACGAGGACGACGACGACGACGACGACGTTAACGACGACGTTGACGACGACGACGACGACGACGACGACGACGACGACGACGACGACGACGACGTTGACGACGACGTTGACGACGACGTTGAGAACGTTGAGAACGTTGACGCTGTCGACGACCTCGACGACGACGACGACGACGACGCCTTCTCGCCGAGCGTTGCTTCCTCGGGGGGGCGAGAGAGGCGCGGGGGCGAAGAAGCGTGGGCCTGTCGGGGGGCCCCAGAGGCCCGTCGAGGGGCCCCCCATCTGCGGCACAAGACCGGCACCCTTCTCCTGGCCATCGCTCGGACGTCCACTCCCTGTGTTTTTTTTTCGGCTTCGTGCGTGGTTTCTTCGCAGTGTGCTCCAGGATGCTCCTTCATAATCCCAGACGAGAAAGAGGGCACACGTCCGAGCGATACCAAGTCTTCGCCGCCCCCCCCACCCCCCCGTTGTCGACCCCCGCACCACGCAGCGCCCGATCTCGGGAGGCTCAAGAGGCCTCCGGCCTTCCGACGAGGCGGCTCGAGCCTGCTCCGAGGCCCCACCGCACCCTGAGGAGGCTCGGCCCCCCTTCTCTCTCCCCCCGCGGCGACCGATGGCACCGAACTGTATACAAAAGGAAGATCGGCCAGATGAGGCTTAGATGTGTACAGCAGCTGCTAGCTCACAGCCAAGCAGGAAGCGCAATAACAAACCATCGAACGAGAGGCCCGAGTGGTTTGGAACGTGCGGGGTATACACCGACAACTACAAAGAAACCACATCTGCAGAAATATCAGCTTTCGACGGTCCGCGCGGATTTCTTGGATCTGCGCTAGACCCCCCTGGCGGCGGCTCTGGCGCCGCCCCTAGCGCGCTCCACGCGCCAGGGAGGGGGGGCCTACGCCGATGCAAGAAATCCACGCGGAGCTCCGACAGTTGATTATTGTGCCACTTCTTCGTATTCTTCTCATTCCTCTTCGAATTGAACTGCTGGGAAGGTGAGCAGACGGGCAGCGGAGAGAACCAAACAAGACTGGGGAAACCAAAAAGTACCGATACCGCCACTCCCCGGACCCCTCCCGGGGCGCGCTCTGACCAGAATTCCGGGGCGAAGGCAGCGGTGGCGACGAGGGCCTCCCAGGAGGCCCACAGAAAAGAAGAGAACGAGGCAAGGGCTGCGGTATCGGTACATCTCCCTCCTCCAAGGTGCCCAGACGGGCAGCAGAGAGAACACAAACGTTCGGTCGGGCGCGTTCCCCTACAAGCGGATTCTGGAAGCAAAATAAACAATACACCCAGAATGCTTGAAAATATTAAACAACTACTCGAAAAATCGCCCCCATACTACTTTTTTATTATGTTTGCATGTGCCCCCCTGTAGAGAGACATGTTTGACTTCAACAGAACGGGACGGCGCGCAGTCTCTGGGGGGTCTGGATGGGGATGGGGGATGGGGATCGGGGGGTCTGCATGGGGATTTTCGGGGGGTCGGGGGCTCTGGATGGGGATATGAGAAAAACGGACATGGGGATGTGTGGATGGGGGCGGGGATCGGTGACACGACACCGCACCTCTCGCGCCCCCGAGGGTGCACAGACGAGCCGCAGGAGAGCACCGAAGCGGGCCGGCGCGCAGCCTCTCCTCCTCCTCCCCCAGCTCCTCCCCCAGCTCCTCCTCCTCCCCCTCCTCCTCCTCCTCCTCCTCCTCCTCCTCCTCCTCCTCCTCCTCCTCCTCCTCCCCCTCCTCCTCCTCCTCCTCCTCCTCCTCCTCCTCCTCCTCCTCCTCCTCCTCCTCCTATCCTCCCTCCTCCTCCTCCTCCTCCTCCTCCCCCTCCTCCTCCTCCTCCTCCTCCTCCTCCTCCTCCTCCTCTCCTCCTCCTCATCCTCCTCCTCCTCATCCTCCTCCCTCCTCCTCCTCCTCCTCCTCCTCCTCTCTCCTCCTCCTCTCCTCCTCCTCCCCCTCCTCCTCCTCCTCCCCCTCCTCCTCTCCCTCCTCCCCCCTCCTCCTCCTCCTCCTCCTCTCTGTTTTCCCCGGCGGGAGGGCGCCCTCGGCCTGCCCGCAGCCGCGCGGGGCGCCTCGGAGGGCGCGGCTCGGCTTGAGCCGACCCGCCCTCTCCGGTCTCGGCGGCGCGGGGGGGCCGGCGCCCGCCCGCGGGACGCGCTCGGCGCATCCCGCGAGGCGCCTTCTCTCGCGCGCCCTCGGGGCCCTCGCCTGGACGAAGCCTGGGGGGGAGCCACACGCGAACCCCACCCCTGGCTCCCACAATTTAACGGGCGAAGAACGGCATAAAATAAACTTTCTCGCCGTCGGGGGCGCCTGCCCCAGGGCGGCTGGAAAGTTTATACCCTAACGGTGGCACTGTAGGGGTATAAACTTTCCAGCCGCCCAGGGGCAGGCGCCACCGACGGCGAAAAAGTTTATGTTATGCCGTTCTTCGCCCGCTGAACAATAGCTCTGAGGGGGAGGGGGGGGGGTTCACCTCGCTGTTGGGGAGCTCTCCCGGACGAAGCGAGGCCCCCGCCCTCCCCCTCGGAGATCGCAGGTGGGGGTAGGGGCAGGGGTTCGCGTCTGGCCCCCTGAAGGCGTCTGCCTGGAGGACGACAACGACTCCACAACACACACACACACACACACACCAGCTTTCGGAGCTCCGCGCGGAGTTCTGGGATCTGCGCTGAGCCCCCCCCCCCCTCCCTGGCGCGCGGGACGCGCCAGGGGCGGCGCTGGAGGCACTGCCGGGGGGTCCAGCGCCGATCCAACAAATCCGCGCGGACCTCCGAGAACGTATGTTTATGCATGCTTTTTGTTCCTCGACACCAGGCACCCCTTCGGTGGCAACTCATGGGAGCATCCCGTACCATCTTGTCGGCTCTTGCGAGGCGACGCTCGTCGACGCTAGTCGACGCTAGTCGACGCTAAGTGACGCTAAATCGACGCCGATCGACTCCAACCGACGCTAAGAAATCGGCGCTATCTCATCGACTCCCATACGCTGGTCGACGCTAATTGGCGCCAAAGTCGGAGTTACAAGGGAACACAGTCAACCCGAATCATAAGGATGCGCGAAGGGAGCAAGGGCCTTCGAGGGCCAAGTGAACGTCTTTCGAACGAGGGTGGCCAGTGAAAGTCGCTAAGGATGGGCCGAAGGGGCAAGGATGCAAGGGTGCCATCCTTATCATGCGGGCTGACTGTCACTTCGCCCATCGCGCCCCGTGATGTGCCACGCGCCCCTTCTCTTCGCGCCCTCGCGCCCTCGCGCCGGCCGCCTGGAGAAGGGCCACCGCTGTGGCCCAGCTTCTCCTCTCCAGTCGGGACGGAGCGAGCGTCGAGTTGGATGCTCATTCTGGGGACCGTCCTGGAGCCACTCGCTCCACTCGTGCGTCGAAGGTGCGTCGAACGTCAGTCGAGTTGAGTCGACCCTGAGTCGACCCTGAGTCGAACTTGAGTCGAACCTGAGTCGAACTTGAGTCGAACTTGAGTCGAACTGGGGTCGAACAGATCCGTTAGGTGGGCTCCAGGAAGGTCCCCGAAACGAGCATCGAAGTCGAGGACTCCTCGATGCTCGATTCCCCATCGAGGCTCCCATGACCTGCTGCCGAGCACCGTCTCGCCCACCCCCCCCCATCGGCAGAGGGGCCTAGCCGAGCCCGCCCCTAGGCGACGGGCGAGCCCCCGCGCGCGCGGCAGCGCGGCCCCGCGCCGAACGCAGCCGGGGCCGGAGCGGGCGCGGCCAGGCCTGCGCCAAGGCGGCCGCCCGTTGGTCGGTCCGCGCCGCAAGCGTGGGGAGACGAGCAGTGGCACAGACAGCGCGTGGTCTCAGAGGTGCAGACCTCCTCTTGGTTCTGTTCCTCCTCCTCCTCCTCCTTTCCTCCTCTTCCTCCTCCTCCTCCTCCTCCTCCTCCTCCTCCTCCTCAACTTCCTCCTCCTCCCCTCCTTGCTCTTTAGAGAAACAAGCAGTGACATGAACAGAAAAAATTGGAGGTCGTCTCGCGGGTGTCTCGGAGCGGCGCTGGACCCCCCTCCCTGGCGCGCTAGGCGCGCCGCCAGGGGGCCTCAGCGCCGATCCGAGAAATCCGCGCGGACCTCCGAGTTGTTATGTTTATGTCATTGTTGTCTCCCCTAAAAAAAGGAGAGGAGGAAGAAGAGGAGGAGGAGGAACAGAACCAAGAGGAGGATTAAGGCACCTCTGAGACCACGCGTTGGTCGCAAGACATACTGCTTTGGGCGCAGCGGTGGAAGCTAACACGGCCGCCGCGAAAACTACTAAACGGTTTGCTGCCAATCTCTGGCGCGGCCGAACCGGCCCCTAGCAAACCATCCCCTTGCGTGCCGTCATCCTCGCCCCTCGGGCTTCCCTCGGGCCGCATGCCTACGTCTTGGGGCGAGGCGAGGAGGACGCCACGGAAGGGGATGGTCTGCTGGGGGTCGGTGAGGCCGCCCCTGACAATCAGGTCGCCGGATTCAAGCACACCACTCGGCCCTCGACCTGCGGGGCTATGGCGAAGCGCTTCGTGCACTCGGGACCCTCGCCTATCCTGGACAGGTCCATGGTCGCCTGACGCTTGCTGGCCTGCCTGCTGAGGGCCCGCCCGGCCATGGCCGTCGAGGCCTCGGGCGCGTCGCCGTTCAGGGCCTCGATCGCCTTGAAATGCTCCCTGACCTATAGAAAAGAAAAAGGCATAAACATAAACTGTTGAAGGTCCGCGCGGATTTCTCTTCTCTGGGCTAGAACCCCCTCTCTGGCGCGCGGAGCGCGCCAGGGGCGGCGCCCGAGGCGCTGCCGGGGGGCCCCAGCACGGATCTAAGAAATCAGCGCGGAGCGCCAACAATCACGTGTATGCCGATTTTCCTTCTTCGATGGCCATGCTGGGCAAGATGCCGGCCTGCTCGCCGTCGGCCAGGCAGACCGCGTCCCGGAAGACGTCGTAGCCGTCCTTGCCCTGCCGCAGGTAGTCCTTGGTGCAAAGCTTGTAGCACCTCTGGTGCTCCAGCGCGGCGCCGCCGATCTTGACCGTGTCGCGGAGGACGCGGCTCCCGGGGCTGCCCTTGGCGTCGAAGGTGAAGGTCACTCCGCTGACCTGGGCGAAGCGCCCTTCGAGCCTCGGGTACTGAGAGACAGAATTCTCAAGCACCTGCAAGATCTGCTCGCCCGTGAGTTGCAGCAGGCACAGCTCGTCCAGCATCGGCAGGATGTTGACGAGGTCCCTCATCCTTATGGGCCCCGCCTCGATGATGGCGTCGGCGCGAAGCGTGCCGCTGTTGAGCACGGCCAGGTCGGCCTTCATGCCCTTCAGCATGACGTCCGTGATGAAGTTGCCAATGTTCGTCTCCATCGTCCTGATGGAGGAGAAGCGGCAATCCAGGTCCACTGCAGTCTCGCCGACGACCTTGTTCATCGCATCTCGCACTTTGGACTCGCACTCCTCGACGAAGACCGACACCTCCGGGTCCTCCGTAATGGAGGAGAAGATCTCCACGTGCGTGTGCTGCAACACCTTGAACGGCTTGGCCGTCCCATCGTCCGTGAACAGCAGCCTCAGCTCGGTCATGTCCCGGAAGTCGGTGCCGCTCTTCAGCACGTAGGTGCCGTGCGGCCCCACGGGCTTGACGTCGTAGTGGTGGTCGTGGCCACCGAGGATGATGTCAACCTCGGCGATCTCGTGGGCGAGCAGCTCGTCGTTCGGTACTCGCATGTGGGTCAGCGCTATGACGATCTCTGCGCCCTGCTGGGTCTTCAGCTGGGTGGCCAGCCGGCGGGCGCAGGGGCAGAAGTCCTCGTACTCCACGTCGTCTGGGTCGATGGTGGCAAGGGTCACCAGCCACTCCTTCTCCACGAGCCCAATGAGGCCGATCTTCCTGCCATGGAAGTCGAGCATGCGCGTGGTGAGGCCCTCGGCCAGGGGGCGGCCGGTCTTCTTGTCGGTGACGTTGCTGATCAGCCAGGGGAAGTTGTTCGACGACGCCATGGAGATGAGGTTGTCGACGCCGAAGTCGAAGTCGTGATTCCCGTAGCAGGCCGTGTGGATGCCGATGGCATTCAGCGCGGGCACCATGTGCTTGCCGAAGGTCGTGGTCGACGTCATCGAGGGGTTGAACGCGTCGCCGCTGAACAGCACCACGGCCTCCTCCTCGCCGCGGGCGACGGACTCGGCCTTGAGCTCGCGCACGCGGGTGACGAAGCGGGCAACCCCGCCGACGGGCTCTTTCTCCCTCGGCGCAACGTTGTATACGTCGTTGAAGTGGAGGATGGTCATTGCCTTGGGCCTCTGCGAGCCCTGCAGCGACGGCGTCGAGCACCTCTGCTCGGCCTCGCGCACGACGTCCACTCGCGGCACCGTGCGCAGCGTGAACTCGGCGGGTGGAATGCCCGCCCTCTGCACAAACTTGACCGCGGACTCGCGGAACACGGCGGTGTCTGTGTCCTCGGATGCACCAGACAAGGCTCCCATAGCCCGCTTGGGAGGCGACCCAGGACAGGGGGGCCAAAGAGCAACTAGGGATACTTACGGGGCTCGCTTTCCTGCAGAACCCCGATGTACAAAGACGGGGGCCTCAGTGATGCCACGCCTTCACTGTGCAAGTGGGGTGAGTGCGGGCAAGATTCATGTGCATATCCAGTGCCTCGTGGACTTTTTTGGAAGCGGCGCCACAAGGCCGAGGCGCACTGGATATGGACAAAAATCGAGCCTCTAGGGGGCAAATTTATCCATATCCAGTGCGCCTCGGGTTTCTTGGGAAGGGAGCCCGAAACTCCATACTGCAGTGGATATAGACATAAGTATTGCCCGCAGTGAGGGCTCCTTTTATTCGCGGTGATCCTCGGTGCAGTCGAAGATGGGCCCGCCCTGGCTGCGGAGGCCGTCGGGCCAGCGGTCGACGCCGGGGTTGCCCATCCAGAGCTCGACGGTCCCGGGGGGGACGCCCGCGGCGAGCAGGCTGCGCCCCAGGGGGTCCTGCTCCAGCTTGGCGCCCGTCCACAGCAGCCTCTCCCGCAGCGCCTCGAGGGGCCCGGCCGACGCGTGCACCGCGTTGTTCATCGTGGAGGGCATCCCGTCCAGGCCGAGCGCCTCCCAGTGGCGGTAGAACTGGCCGCGGATGGACTCCTCGGGAGCCTTTGGAGGCCTCCCACGTGATTTCCGAGTAAGTGGGGTCCGGGAATCGCATCGCATTGTCGCCCATGAATCGCCGATACTTCGGTGCATCGCCGACGTCGACGATGCATCGGCGCCGTCGGCGTGGAGAACATCGGGCTCCACATCGAGTCCGCATCGGCGATGCATCGGCGATGCGGCGCGATCCTCCGACCCCATCTGCTCCGACCCCACCCGGGAGGCCCAGAGCCTTGGAGGGGTTGGTGCTGCCGCAGATGTCGGAGCGGAACTTGCCCCAGGAGATCACGGCGGGGTCGAACTCGACGACCAGCCACAGCAGCCCCTCCCCCCCCTTGAGGAAGCTGTCGCGCTGCTGGCACAGGAAGGCGTTCACCACGAAGGCCTCGGCCTGCGGCGCCGCCGGGGAGGTCAGGCGGGCGACGTAGAGGCTGGGCGCCAGCTTGAGGGGCCCTGCTGCGTCCCACGCCTCTCGGGGGGGAACGAACGGGGGGGATCGCAGAGGGCAGGGTAGAGACTCAGCTCACGTACAGCTGATCTTCCCAGCGCCCCCCGGCGCCGGGAGGCGCCCTCGCCTCGAGGCATGGGCCCGGCGGCGGGGCCCAAACCGGCCGCATGCAGCGCAGATGTCGTACCCCCCCCGTTTCGTTTCCCTAGCCCCCCCCCTTTCCTTCGGCCCGAGCCTCGAGGAGCTGCTGGTTGGTCATCTGCAGCCTGGCGCCCGCCTCCGTCGCGGGCAGGACGGCGGCGGACCCGACCGCATCGTGCCACGCCACGCCGAAGCGCTGCTCGAACGCCTCCTGCCCGCGGGGCGGCACCTGCAGGGCCCCCGGGTCGGCGGAGGCGTTGGCCGCCAGCTGCGAGTAGTGCGCGTCGAAGAGGCCGCGCTCGGCGAGCTCGCTCGCGGAGACGGCGCCCCGGTCGAGAACCGCGATGCCGTGGGTCACGAGGTAGGACTGCAGGAAGCGCTCGGCCTGTGGGTTGTGCGCGTGCGGCTTCAGGAACACGAGAGCTTGGTTGGGCATGTGCGGGTTCATCTCGAAGGACATTACCTCCCGGACGCTGGCCCACACGTCCTCCACTTCCTGCTCCGAGTCGACCCGGCGGAGCCGGCCCTGCTGCTGGAAGTGGGCGACGATCGGCACCGTCTCCGCGCTGAAGGTCTGGAATCGCTTTCGGATGGTCGCCGCGTTGTCGTCCGAGCGCCCGCTGCTCTTCCCGCGGTCTAGCAGCCGACGTTCCATGGTGGCCTCGGAGCACTCGAAGAAGAGGCAGAACTTCACGTTGACTTTGTCCCCGAGGATCCTCTGCCAGCCCTCCATGTTGTCGGCGCTGCGCGGGAAGCCGTCGACCAAATACCTGCCGCCCTCCCAGCCGCGCTCCTCCATGGCCTTCTGCAGCAGCTGCACCGTGATGTCCACGGGCACCAGCTTCCCATCTCGGATGTAGCCCTCGATCAGCTCCCCCATCTCCGAGCCAGGACGCTTGCGCTCCGCCCGCAGCAGGTCGCCGGCGCTCAAGTGGTGGAAGCCGAACTGGCCGGCGATGCGCTCGCACTGCGTGCCCTTTCCAGCGCCCGGGCCCCCGAGCACGAAGATCACGGTGGGCGCGAACAGCATCTTCGCGCTGTGCCAGACCTCATCGACGCTCTTCTCGGAGTTGACCCTGCGCAGCCTTCCTTGCGCCTCGAATGCATGCAGTACTGGGACCGACTCCTGCTGGAATGTGTCGAAGCGCTTCCGGAGGGTTTCAGCATTATCGTCGGACCGCCCGCTCGTCTTGCCGCGCTCCAGGATGCGCGCCTCCATGGTCTCCCTGGTGGCGTCCAGGTGGAGGGCGAATTGAACGTTCACCTGGTCGCCGACGACACTCGTCCAGCCCTCCATGTTCTCGGCGCTCCGAGGAAAGCCATCGATGAGGTACTTGCCACGCTCCCAGCCCTTTGCCCACATCGCGTTGCGAAGGAGCTTCACCACTATTTCCACGGGAACCAGCTTGCCGTCCCGGATGCAGCCCTCGATCAGCTCCCCGTACTTGGACCCAGGGCGGTTTCGCTCATCGCGCAAGAGATCTCCAACGCTCAGGTGGTGATAATTGAACGTGCCCGCTATCCTCGCGCAGACCGTGCCCTTGCCGGATCCGGGCCCACCGAGCACGAACACCACCGACGGGCCGAACAATGGCTGCACTTGCTTCCACACCTCGTCCGGCGACTTCTCCGCGTCCACTTTCCGAAGCATCCCCTCGGCCTGGAGTTTCTCGACGATGGGCATCGACTCGGAATGGAAGGTCATGAAGCGCTTGCGGATGACCTCGATGTTGTCGTCGCTCCTGCCGCTCGTCTGGCCGCGACGCAGCAGGCGCTCCTCCATTGCGCCCATGCTGCACTCCAGGTAGATGCCGAACTTGACGAACACGCGGCCCTGGACGGCCTGCTCCCACGCCTCCAAGTTCGAGGAGCTCCGCGGGAAGCCGTCCACGAGGTACTTGCCGCCCTCCCAGCCGGTCTCCCGCATCCTCCGGAGCAGAAGATTCACCGTGATCTCCGCGGGCACCAGCTTGCCCTCCCGGATGTGGCTTTCGATGAGCTCGCCGTACTCGGAGCTGGGCCTCTGGCGCTCCTCCCGCAGGAGATCCCCAGCGCTCAGGTGCGCGTAGCCGAAGGCCTGGGTGATGCGGGAGCACAACGTACCCTTGCCGGAGCCGGGCCCGCCAAGGACGAAGACCACAGTGGGCCCGAAGATGGCCTGGACGTTGTGCCAGACCTCCTCGACGCTCTCCTCCGCGCTGACCCTCTTGAGGAGGTCCCGCGACGCCAGGTGCTCGGCCACTGGGACGGACTCCTGCTGGAAGGTGCGGAACCGCTTCCGGATGGACTCGATGTTGTCGTCCGACCTGCCGCTCGTCTTGCCGCGCTCCAGCAGGCGCTCCTCCATGCAGGCCTCGGGCAGGTCGAAGAAGAGCGCGAACTTCACGGTCGCCTGATCGCCGATGACGCGGTCCCAGCCCTCGAGGTTCTCCTTGCTCCGGGGGAAGCCGTCTATCAAGAACTTGCCGTCGGCCCAGCCCCTCTGCTTCATGGCGGCCTCCAGGAGCTTCACGGTGATGTCCACGGGCACGAGCTTACCTTCGCGAATGTAGCTCTCGATCAGCTCACCGTACTCGGACCCAGGCCTGGCCCGCTCCTCCCGCAGCAAATCGCCGGCGCTCAGGTGGTGAAAACCGAACGCCTCCGAGATCCGGGTGCACTGCGTGCCCTTGCCAGCGCCGGGCCCGCCGAGCACGAAGACCACCTGCGGCCCAGCACTCGCCGACCGGTGCACCTCGACCTTCTGCAGCCGGCTGGTCTCGAAGTAGCAGTGGATGCGGTAGGCGAGGGCGAAGCGGACCATGTCAGGGAAGCGGTCCACGGTCAGGGAGTCGAGCTCGGCTCTGTAGGCCGCCAGCAGGTGCGAGGCAGCCGCTGGAGCCTTCAGCTCCGAGGCCATCGCCGTCTGCATCTGCGGCAGCGCACCCAGGGCCGCGCACAAGGCCGTGCCCAGCTCGCCGCCGCTGCCCAGGCGCTCCTGGGTCCCCGCCGCGGCGGCGAACGCACTGACGGCGCAGTCCTCGAAGCCCTTGGAGGCCAGGTGCTCCTGGTCGGCGGCCGTCAGCAGCGACAGGTACTCGCCTAGAGGAGCAATGAAGGGCACACACATAAACCTTAGGAGCTCCGCGCGGATTTCTTGGGTCGGCGTTGGACCCCCGCAACCTGGCGCGCGGCACCAGAGGCGCCGCCAGGCGAGTCCAGCGCCGACCAAAGAAGTCCGCGCGGAGCTCCGAAGGTTTCAGTGAAATGCCGCTTGTCCGGGGGTGCGCAAAGGTGGGGTAGGGGCAGAGGTGGGGCTGGGAGGACCATCGCTCTGAACGGCTCCTGGAGAAGAACATGTGAGCATCCAAATGGGATCGCTTCCTGTAGCGGGAATGGAATAACCCTAGACACCCGGCGTCATGATTTTTTCGCGACGTCGACCCCCAATGTCTCGACCCGTTTCCCATGGGCGGCCTTCACCCTGAGTCGCTTCTTGACGATCCCGAGGCCCGATAGGGGGCCCCCAGAGGCCGAACATGGCGAGAGCCCCCCGTCGCGATTGTTTGTTCGTGACCCGAGAGGGTCCGGGGATAACTCCCCCTCTACTCGGGGGCGGCAAAGAGGGGGGTGTCCAAGAGGGGGGGGGTGCAAATCATGACCGGCGGCATGTGCGCGGCCCAGCGGGAGGGCCAGGGACGTAATGTAATAAGAAGAGGCGCCATGAGATCTGGGGAAATATCATGCCCCCCGCCATGATATCCCCCCCCCCCCCCAAAGTCATCACCCCCCTCTTTTCCGCCCCCGATCTACGAACCCCCGGCTTGCTCCTCTCCGATCGCCCACGCTTGCCGGGCCCAGGAAGTCGCCCGGTGCCGCGGGCGCCCGGAGCACGTGGGGGGGATCCGGCAGGGGGCCGTCCAGCTCCGCCATGCTCCTCGATGGGGGCCCCGCGCGCGGCGCGGCGAGGTCGGCGCGGCGCGCAGGGCGCGTTGGGAGCCAGGACAGCTCGGCAGCCCGAGAGGTGTCTGTGTAGGAGGCGCTCCGAAGCACGTGCCCGTCAGTCGGAAGAAGAAGAAGAAGAGACAAGAAGAAACACAGGCAGAAACGCGAAAAGGGATGTCTTGCCCATGCCCGAAAGCTGCCAGAGCACCGCAACCAGCTTCGTGGTAGTTGTGGTTTGCGTGGCGTCCCAGGGCGGCCCACTCGGCCACAACCACAACCATGGTGCTCATGTCGAGGTCGGTGGGTTCTCCCACGAAGGGCCCTCCCGAACAACATCCACGTACCCGCCGGTGGGAAGAGATGGGTAGAAACATGAAGTAGGAGGGCGTCGGAAGTAGATTGGGTTCCCGCCAGCACCCTAAAGAGGAGGGAAAGGGGAAAACCTGTCGACTCTTGAAGTAGGGAGGAGGCCAAAGCAGATTGGGGTCTGGGAGTGTCTGGGAGTACAGAAAGCCATACTTTCAACGATCGGCGTGTTCCCATAGAGGAAGAAAAGACGGCACGAGCATCAAACTTTTGGAGCTCCGCGCGGCGTTCTTGGATCTGTGCTGGCGCCCCCTGGCGGCGACGCCAGCGCCGCTTCTGGCGCGATGCGCGTGCCCCTGGGGGGGGGTCCAGCGCGGCTACAAGTCATCCGCGCAGAGCTCTAAAAGCTTATGCCCCCCACATGACTCGCGGGGTTTGTGGGTTTCCTTCCCACCCGCGTCGCACCCGCGTCTCCTCCCAACCCCCCTCTTCTCCGCCTCCTCTTCCTCCCCTCACCCGCACGCAGCACATGCACGGCACGTACATGAGACACGCGTCTACATACAGCCCCACGCATGCACATACTCTCTCACACACGCACACACACACACACACGCACGCACGCATTCCAACAACGCCAGTGCATGCATGGTGTGTTCACTGCATCATACACCCACGACGTATGCGCCACATACTTGGCACCCACATGAGACACATGTCCAGATACAGCCGCACACGCATCATACACATGATACGCACACCACACAACGCATACGCAAGATTCGCAGGGCGTGGCAAGCGTGGCACTTCCTCGACACCACCGGTGGTGCGCTGGGGGTGGTCGGTCTCCGTATCCGCTTCGGGCTCGCAAAGCGTGGCGGGCGTGGCACTTCCTCGACACCACAGGGGGTGCGCTGAGGGTGGTCTCACTGTCCGCTTCGGGCTCGCAAAGCGTGGCGCGCTTTGCACTTCCTCGACACCACCGGTGGTGCGCTGGGGGTGGTCACCCTATGCGCTTCGGGTTCGCAAAGCGTGGCAGGCGACGAATTTCCTCGACGCCACAAAAAGCGCGCTGGGGGTGGTCACCCTATCTGTTTCGGACTCGCAAAGCGTGGCAAACTTGGCACTTCCTCGACACCACAGGGAGTGCGCTAGGGGTGGTCACACTATCCGTTTCGGGCTCGCAACGCGTGGCAGACGTGGCACTTCCTCGACACCACCGGTGGTGCGCTGGAGGTAATCTCCCTGTCCGTTTCGGGCTCGCAGAGCGTGGCAGGCGTGGCAGTTTCTCGACACCACAGGGAGTGCGCTGGGGGTGGTCTCCCTATCCGTATCGGGCTCGCAACGCGTGGCGGGCGTGGCACTTCCTCGACACCACAGCGGGTGCGCTGGGTGTGGTCTCCCTGTCCGCTTCGGGCTCGCAAAGCGTGGCGGGCGTGGCAGCCCCTCGACACCGCAGGGGCGGGGGCGCTGGGCGGGCGCAGGCGGGAGGCCGATGCGCGAGGCTCGGCGTTGCCCTGGACGCCCGAGGGGCGCGCACTGGCCGGGGGATGCGCGGGCGAGAGCTCGGGGCTGCAGACACCCTGGGCTCGAGCCGCCTCGGCGCTCCCGCGCTCTGCCGCAGGCGCGCCCGTGCTCCCACGTGGGATGCAGCAGCCGGCCTTCCTGCGCGCGGCACGCGTGCCGCCTGGAATTGCCCACTCTGGACGGAGGGCACGCGGCACGCAGCAGGGCGGCACTCTGGACGGAGGGCAGCAGGGCCGCCTGGACGGAGGGCGGCACTCTGGACGGAGGGCGGCACTCTGGAAGGAGGGCGGCACTCTGGACGGAGGGCACTCTGGATGGAGGGCAGCAGGGCCGCCTGAAATTGCCCACTCTGGACGGAGGGCACTCTGAAATTGCACGCGGCACGCAGCAGGGCGAGGGAGGACGGATCACTCTGGAGGCTCCCCAGGGTCGTTGCAAAAGGGGGTCGGCTTGCGCAAACTCCCTCTGTGGACCCCCTGAGAAACCGAAATGCGGTGTTGCCTGAATGCTTCTTGCCGCTCCAGGACACGGCCCTCGGTGACCACTTTGAATACTCCCTCGGCTGAGGACAGATGGCGGGGATGAGGAAAGAGGTTCAAACAATGGTGCGGTGGATGACAAGTTGGGGGGGACATCCTCGACGAGGGTTCGTAACGCTGGATAACGCGTAAATGGTAACATGTTAAGCGAGCACATAAGACTTAAACTAAGCTTTGTTCGGTCGGGTGATTGTGCGGTTGGTTCCCCACATGTTTCGTGGGAACTCTTGTTTTCTTCCCACCCGCGTCGCACCCGCGTCTCCTCCCACCTCCCAATTCCCCTCCCCACCATCGTGCAACACATGCACGGTACGTACATGAAACACGCGTCGACATACAGCCGCACGCATGCACAAACTCGCACACACACACACAGACACACACACACACACACACACACACACACTCCAACAACGCCAGTGCACGCATGGCGTGTTCACTGCATCATACACTCACGACGTATGAGCCACATATTTGGCACCCACACGAGCCACACGTCCAGATAGAACCGCACACGCATCATACACATGAAACGCACACCACACACAACTTACGCGCAATATTCGAAAGGCGTGGCAGGCGTCACAGGCGTGGCACGCTTGACGTGGCAAGCTTGGCACTTCCTCGACACCACAAGGAATACGCTGGAGGTAGTCTCCCTATCCGTTTCGGACTCGCAAATCGTGGCAGGCTCGGCACTTCGTCGACACCACAGGGAGTGCGTTTGGGGCGGTCTCCGTGTCCGTCCCGGGCGGGCTCGCAAAGCGTGGCAAGCGTGGCATTTCCTCGACACCACAGGCCGTTTCGGGCTCGCAAAGCGTGGCAGGCGTGGATTTCCTCGACACCACAAGTGGTTCGCTGGGTGTGATCTCCCTATCCATCTCGGGCACGCAAACCATGGCAGGCGTGGCAATCCGTTGACACCACAGGGAACACGCTGGAGGTAGTCTCCCCATCCGTTTCGGGCTCGCAAGCGTGGCAAGCTCGGCAATCCCTCGACACCATGGGGGGTGCGCTGGGGGTGGTCTCCGTATCCGTATCAGGCTCGCAAAGCGTGGCAGACGTGGCACTTCCTCGACACCACAGGGAGTGCGTTGGGGGCGGTCTCCGTGTCCGTTTCGGGCTCGCTAAGCGTGGCGGGCGTGGCAGTTCCTCGAAACCACAGGGAATGCGTTGGGGGTGGTCTCCCTACCCGTTCTGGGCTCGCAAAGCCTGGCAGGCGTGGCACTCCCTCGACACCACAGGGGGTGGTTCTTTGAGCGCGGCATCGGCTCTTTGCGCGACGTGGAAGGCCCAGACAGCTGGTGGGGTCAAAGTGGCGGTTAGCCAAGAACGCCCAGGCTTTTGCCCTTTCTGGACCCATTCAGGGCACTCAGGCTCTCAAAGCTTGACCGGCACCACCAAAGGTATCGGCGACGCAACGGCCACCTGCATCATTCTCGCAAGTTTCACGTCAGCTATCGTAACGCCTGTGGGGTTCTTCGGTAGCGTAGTTGTTATTCGATTGTAGAGGTTCCGGAACACGTACCAATGAGCTGCTTCCTGAAGACGCCAAAACTTCTCACCCATTAGACGCTAAACGAGGTTTGAGGAAGATCCCCCCTTGCGCGCTACTGCAAAACAAACAGTAACATGTATGTGTGTTTCTCGCGCGTGGTGATCACTGCAGAAGCCGCCTCCCCGCTGTAATGGTTGGTGTGTGCTGGGCCCCTGTCCGTGTTCGACGAAAACGCTTTCTTGCGAATACTCGCTTCCGAACAGTGTTTGTAAACGGCGGTTCCCACTTGTTCAAAGATAATTGGACATGTCTGCAACGAGTTCTGGTTGCCGCCCTGGCGCCCAAAGGAGAGTCCCCTATGACTCACCAGGTTGGTGCTAGATGATGCCCAGGTCTGCGGCGATTTCTGGTTGCACCCCCTGGTGCCTTACGGATGATGCCCCATGGTCCGTGCCGTATGGTGCCTCAAGTCCGAATCTGCTGCGAGTCCTGAATGCCGCCCCGAAGCCCCGTGGGTGGTCGCCTCCCGCCCCCCCGCCACCAATCGCAGCCCACCCGCCGCAACGAGCCCCAACATGCGGCCACAGACGGCTCTGGGTGTCTGTGGTTGCAATACTCTCTTGTCCTACCTGTCTACGATGGTCTCGACGCTGCATGGCGCTACGGCCCCCTCAAGCGATCCTTTTCGTTCTGCACTCAAGTGGGAAGGCCCGCTGCGACTGTCCCTGTTCCCGGGCAGTTGGTAGGACAGGGTTGCCCTCAAGCTCTCGCCGTAGATGCTCCGACGACAAGGCTTGCCAAAATAGCCTTAGTGGTGATCAGATGGTGGGGGTTCCGTCGAAGGGCTTCCTGATTCGCGACCAAATGATTCGGCGCCATACACAAATCATAATTTCGTGCGCGGTTAGCTGAGGAACGCCCCCCGGAAACTTAATTTGCGGTCAGCTGGTGCGACCATCGACTAGTCTGGCATTTGCGAAAAGATGAAACAATCCGCTACGGGTTTCCCGCTCGCGGTCAGACGATCAAATCCCCGTGGATAAGGCCCCACCAAAAAGGTTCCCTCCCGTACAGTCTCCTTTTTAAAAAAAAGAGTAGACTCTACCCCCCCTGGCGTTATCACTCCCCCTTTTCGGGTATGTAAATCAAATACGATTATGACCACATGTCCACCCTAACTATGAATTCACTCTATCCCAGGCCACCTGGATTACCCCCCTGAGGTTTCCCGTTCTTTGTTAAACAACACTATGCGGTGGCATTGTTTGTTATAACATAACACTTGTCCGCGAATAATTTGCAACATATGTGACGAAGTGCACACGCGCGCGTCGTCGCGCGCGCATGCCGAAATCGTTCAAAAACCTCCGGTGCCAGAAAGGTTTTGCAATCGAGTTTTCAAAACAACATAGAATAACACATGGTTTCGCAACACTGGTTTGCTAAAAGACTTCCGCGCGAGCTTTTGCGAAATCTTAAGAAAACCATAGGTGTTTCAAGGTGTTCACAAAATGCTCCTACACGGGCTTCGCACGCGCGCATGTCGAAATCTGTCGAACGCCCTTGCGCGTGTGCCGTCGCGAGAATCCTCTGCAAAGAACGGGACGAAGTGCAGACGCGCGCCTCGTCGCGCGCGTATGCCGAAATCCTTCTAAAACCTTCGGTTTCGGAAGGATTTCAAAATCGTGTGCCCAAAAAACTACAAAAACCCAAGGTTTCGCAACACGGATGTTCAACAAAAGCGTGCGCGCGCGCTCTTGCGGCGTCGTCGTCGTCGTCGTCGTCGTCGTCGTCATCGTCGTCGTCGCCGTCCTCCCTCCTCCCGCGTCGTCGTCGTCGTCGCCTACGTCGTCCTGTGTTTTTCCTCGTGTTCGTCGTCGTCGTCCTCTTTGGCGTCGTGGTCGTTTCCGTCGTCGTTGTCGCCGTGGTCGCCCTTCCTCCTCCTCCCTCGTCGTCGTCGTCGTCGTCGTCCGTCGTCGGCGTCTTGTCGTCGGCCCTCCTATTTCGTCGCCGTCGTCGTCGTCGTTTTCGTTTCGTCGTCGTCTTCCCTCCTCCCTCGTCGTTGTCGTCGTCGGCGTCGCCGTCCTCCCTCCTCCCTCGTTGTCGTCGTTGTCGTCGTTGTCGTCGTTGTCGCCGTCGTCTTCCTCCCTCCTCCCTCGTCGTCGTCTTCATTGGCGTCGTCGTCGTCTTCGTCGTCGTCGGCGTCGGCGTCGTCGTCTCCGTCGTCGTCGACGTCGGCGTCGTCGCTGCCAAGTGCCATGTGGTACCCACCGTCACGGTTAAGAGGTCTTGCGACCAAGTTGCGGGTGGGAGGGGGGGATGTTTGCACGAGCGGTGGGGAGGACAGCTTCAAGTTGAGCAGGTGATTGATTGCACCCCATACGTCACACCGCATATATGTCACACAATAGATAACACCCCACATGTTGCACAGAGGCGCTGCTTGGATCCACGCGCGGACACGAGGAACAACAATCATCTGTAAATGTTCGTACCTGGCCATCGTTCCTCGCTCATAATGGCTTGCAGCACGCCTTGTGACAACCCTCGGATGTTTCAGATGGCTTGCAGGCGGCGGAAGGCGCCCCCGAAACATGCCCCAACGATCCTCAAACAACTGGCTCACCCAACACAGCTTCAAGACAGCTCCAAGGTCCAAGACGACATCAAGAGAGACCAAGATGGCTCCAACATCCTCCCGATACCCTGAGAGGGTCCCAAGAACACCCCAGACAAACGAAGACTGAACACGACCTCCCAGCGGTACCCAAGAACCCTCAAACGCCTCCCGAAGGGCTCCCCAAACGTCTTTGGCAAGCCGAAGGCGCTGCAAAACATTAGGGCGTGTGTATGCTCGCTCAGACCATCCCCGCTTGTGGCCCGATATGTGTTCCAGAACGCCTCAAGTCGGCCCCTGGGCCGTGCAAGTAGGCATCCAAGCTGTCTACGGACCCCCCACGGCGGCCACAGACGCGCCAGGCGGCGTGCTGTCTCACCGACCACGCGCCGCCCGCCGAGCCCTGCGCGGGTCATTATGGCCCGCCCCGCGTCTGCATTCCTTGGATGCGGAAAAAGCGGGTCGTCGCCGCGACGCCCGCGCATTCACGTTATTACCAACGGCGGGTCGCGCGCGACCGCACGCGCCATTGCGCTCGCATTTCCGCTCCTCCGACGCGGGCCCAGGCGGACATCGTGTTTGTTCTTGCACCCACAACTTCTTAAAAGTAGCACTGGGAAAATTACGCCTCTGAGCTCCTGCCCAGCACGTCCGGACATCCAGGCGTTCCAGGCCAGGAGCAGCCCTGTGCCAGATTGGCACGCCCGACGCGGGGTACTGAGAAGAGTGAACACGGTGCCCAACAGCAACTATGATTCCCCAAAGCCGACAGCGGCCTCTCCCTTGGCAGGCGACCTCATGTCTCCAACGGGCAACTTCCGCGGCGACACCGGCAGCACCCATGCCGGGCGCACAACCGATCAAAGCACCCCAAAACAGCAGCACAGGGCGCCTCCAGGCTGCCCCCCCTCGTCGGGAGGCAGCCTCCATTACCTTATCTGGGTGTGGAGTCGAGTTTCCCGAGTTCGTTCAGCCCTGCCCAGGGGTTCTGCCAATGAGTCCACCAGGGAGGGCCCGTCCTTGCACCAAACCGACAAGCCGCGAACCTAAGACCATCCTCCCCCCCACCCCTCCCCCGTGGCGATCTCGGCCCCCGCACTCCCCGCCCCCCTCTGGAGACCCCCTCCCTCGCGCCCATGAGCGCCGCGGCCAGCGCGCCCGCGCCGTGGCTGGAGCCGCTGCCAAGACCGCCCCCCCACCCCCACGCTTAAGTCGGGCGTGTCCCCTACGATCTAGGGCGACAAATAAAAAATACACACACACACACACAAAAAAGGAAGACCAAATCGTCCCCAGAGTATCTCTGAACATTTTTGAATCTTCTCCCTGTAGAGGGACACGCCCGACTTCACCCCGCGCCCACCCGCGCGGGGGCCGACTCAGCGCCTCCTGCCCTGGCAGCACCGGCCGGCGGCCGCAAAGGCCGCCCGGGCCAGCACCCCTGCCCGCTGCCCCAGCAGCATGGCCGAGATCCTCAGGCGGTGCAGCGGCGCGGCTGCGCGCCGCCCGCCGCCAGGGGGGCGGTCCCGCCCGGCCTCACCCGCCGTGGCGTCGGCCAGGTCGTCCAGCGTGCTGAGCCGCACGCGGTCCTCCTCTCGGGGGGCACGGAAAAAGCAGCAAAGGGTAGGGCAGAGAACCAGCTCACGCAAGCAGCCGCTTTGCCCGGCGCCTCCCGGCGCCAGGAGGCGCCCATGCATCGAGGGATGGGCCCGGCGGCGGGGCCGAAGCCAGCTGCACGCAGCAGAGTCTGCACCCCCTCCCCCTTTCCCCATCCCCCCCTTTCGCTCGGCCCGAGCCTCCGTGGCGGCCGCGCGCGCCACGGCGCCCCGGGCGCCGTCGAAGACGCCCGCCCCTCGCAGCGCGGACCGCGTCGCGGCCCAGACTGTCAGGACGTCCTCGAACGCCTGCCCCTCGATGGCCCGGCACAGCTCGCGCAGCGCCGCCTGGGCCTCGCCCAGCGCGCAGCGGACCCCGCAGAGCAGCGAGAAGTGCCGCCGGCGCGCGCCCTTCTCGGCCGGCTCGTCCGCGGCGAGCAGCGCCTGCAGCGCCCCCCTGTGCTGCCCCTGCTTGTGCAGCGCCTCCGCCAGCGTGGCGGCGTACGCGGCGCGCTCGGCAGGGTCCTCCAGCTCCCCGGCGCGGGCCCAGCCACGCTGGAGCACGTTGCCACACTTCAGCCAGGCTCCGTCCTGCGCGTAGGCGAGCCCCAGGCGGAGGATCAGCTCCAGGTTGGAGGGGTCCTCGGTCAGCAGGTCCTTGATCTTCTTGGCAGAATGCGTGATGCTTGGGGCCTCGGGAACCGGGCCCACCGACGAGACCTTGGCCTGCGCAGCCTCGATGATGTCATCCCGAATGTCCTGCATGCCAGCGGCCGCATCGCCACCCTCAGGGACGACGCCGGCGGCAGCGTCGGCGGGGCCCTCGGCCAAAACGGCTACGGACCGCATGACCCTCCAGGTGGACCCAAGAAGGCGCAAAGACGCGCCCATGCAGCCATAAGAGGGGCCCCACAAAGTAGAGAGCAGTCCATCAGGGGCCACAGTGAGGCCCATGAAGCTTCCTGGCGCAACTCTCATTTCGAGACAGCCCAAGGGACCCTCAGAAGGCTTCAGGCAGGCTCTGCGAGGAGCCGAGGGCCTCCGGAGGGCCACGAGGGGGCCCGCGAGGACGTCGAGAGGGTCCATTCGGAAACTCGCACCTGCAGGTTGCCCGCTACGGCAGGCGCGAGCCCACACGAATCCAGCGCGCATGCAGGCCCACCCGCGCACGCGCAAGCCGAACCTCGGCGGCGAGCGAGGGAGGGAAGTGAGATGGAGAAGGCCCTCTCAAAAGGCGGCGGGGCTTCACTGAAGCCCTCCGGCCTTCTGAGAAGTTCTGTGTGTATCCGGGGAAATGCGCAGAAAACTTCTCGGAAGGCCGGGGGGGACTTCCCAGCCTCTCGCGAAGGCCCGCCCCTTCTCATCTCTCCCCCTCGCCCGCCGCCGAGAATGGGGAAACCGAAAGGTACTCATACCGCTACCCCCCAGACCTCTCCCGGGGCGCGTTCTGACCAGAATCTCGAGGCGAACCCAGCGGTGGCGACGAGGGCCTCCCAGACGGGCCAAAAGCAGGACAGCGGCCGAACGGTAGCAGCATGGACTCCTTATACATCCTCCTCGGAGAGAGCCAGCTGCACCACGCACCCAAACCATGGCGCACCAGCGCAGAGCCACGCGGCCGCGCCTCCCGTCTGCGCGTGGGCTTGGCGAGCACACGCGGAGCAGAAGCGCGGGGTGCTGCCAGAGGCCGAGGGCGGCACTTCGGGGCTGCACACTTCGGGGCCGAGGGGCGTCCGCAGAGGCTCTCTTCGGCCAGAGGGTTTTCGCTCGCCCTGGCACGCGGCAGGAGGTCATGATTCGAGGCACGTCGGCGCGCGGTCGCCGTCCATCTTTATAGAGTCCCCTGCTGCTCCCCAGAACTTCAGGGGAGTCCCCAGTCCTGCTGGGCACAAGACATGTCCGCGGGACACAGACTGGCAAGCTGGTGCCTCATTGGACGCTCCTAGCTGCTGTAAGTTCACGCTCCTGTTGCACCCGCGACCTGCCAACAGTGGTGCGGCCGTAGTTGCCCTATTGACCCTCTCGCTGGCTGTTTGGGGCCAGCGCAGATGTCACAACGTTCAGCCAAGATCGCCTCCTACACGGCGTCCACCAGGGCGTCCAACAGATGCATGGACAGAGGTGAGGTCGTTTTCAAATGCGGCTGTCATTTTAGCACCGCGTCCGCTCCTCGTAAAATCCGCCGGCCCCCTTGTGGGGCCACCAGGCTGTAGGCGCGGGTTCGCAGTTTCCAGTACCAGTTGTAGCTTGTAGTTTCCAATGTTACAGTTCTGCTTCTTGCTGGTTACTGTAACTAATTGACTGACCGCGCGAGGGGGGGGGATGCCCAAACGGGACTTTTAGCACCCCCTGGGCGCGTTGTCTGAATTGCTGGGGGGGGGCTCGAAATCGACACCCCTCACGCAGATCCGCGGGGTCAGGGTCCAAAAACACATGGGATTTGCTACATTTCTGAAATTCGGTGCCACCCCTCACGCAGATCCGCGGGGTCAGGGTCCAAAAACACAGGGATTTGCCACATTTCTGAAATTCGGTGCCACCCCTCACGCAGATCCGCGGGGTCAGGGTCCAAAAACACAGGGATTTGCCACATTTCTGAAATTCGGTGCCACCCCTCACGCAGATCCGCGGGGTCAGGGTCCAAAAACACATGGGATTTGCCACATTTCTGAAATTCGGTGCCACCCCTCACGCAGATCCGCGGGGTCAGGGTCCAAAAACACAAGGGGATTTGCCACATTTCTGAAATTCGGTGCCACCCCTCACGCAGATCCGCGGGGTCAGGGTCCAAAAACACAGGGATTTGCCACATTTCTGAAATTCGGTGCCACCCCTCACGCAGATCCGCGGGGTCAGGGTCCAAAAACACAAGGGATTTGCCACATTTCTGAAATTCGGTGCCACCCCTCACGCAGATCCGCGGGGTCAGGGTCCAAAAACACATGGGATTTGCCACATTTCTGAAATTCGGTGCCACCCCTCACGCAGATCCGCGGGGTCAGGGTCCAAAAACACATGGGATTTGCCACATTTCTGAAATTCGGTGCCACCCCTCACGCAGATCCGCGGGGTCAGGGTCCAAAAACACAAGGGATTTGCCACATTTCTGAAATTCGGTGCCACCCCTCACGCAGATCCGCGGGGTCAGGGTCCAAAAACACAGGGGATTTGCCACATTTCTGAAATTCGGTGCCACCCCTCACGCACATCCATCGCAAGGCGTGGTAACCCAAACTGCGAGTACTCCCTCGGCCCTTTAATCCCAAGGTGTGGTAACCAAGTTCGTAAACCATACACGTCTTACCAATCGCCCTGTGTGGTAACCCCTCTTGTGATCAATTGGTTTTGCCGATTGCAAATCGGCCTCGCATGAAGTTCCGATACTGCTGCACGACAGCGCCAAAGCCTCATGACTTAGCTCTTCCATGGCCCATTCTCCGAGAGAGGGAGCCGGCGGCAGGGGGCGAAGCCCTTACGGATATTCCAACAGCTCGACGGGTGGAAAGCGGCTCCTTTTCGAGATAGGGCTGATGCACGGAAGCGGAAGCACGTGCCTCAGTTGCACGGATGGGGGGCGGGGCACCTCCTAGAACACGTGCTGTGTTCGCTTGATACCTCACTGAACTACAACGATGTCCTGCATCTTGACCCGTCGAAGGGCTACAGTGATGGAGAACGGTTCAGTGTTCTCTGGAGACCCGTTGGACAGATACACTGATCAGCTTCAAAATTCAATTTGCTGGTTCAAAACGGCCCAGCTGGGCCATTACTAGAACTGTGACTCAGATCATTGCGTACACTACGGCCCTTGATGGCGACTCAGGCTACTTCACGGCAAATGGACCCCGCAAAATAAGGTCACCATGGAGGAAACCCGTGCACGCCCCATTGCTACTCAAGCACCTTCTTCTCTCCGTTGCACCCATCCCCTGCGCAACATTCAAAAGATGCAGCAACACCGTTGGGAACTGCACAGTCGGGGTATAGAACCCGGGGGGGGGAATGCTGCCCTGGGGCCTACCCAAGGCCCCATGGTAACCTAGGGCAGGGCCGACCCAAGGCCCTAGACTAGGGTAGCCTAGGGTAATGCCTACCCAAGGCCCTAGGGTAGCTTTGGGTAGGGCCTACCCAAGGCCCTAGGGTAGCCTTGGGTAGTACCCCAGACCGTACGGACAAGTTTGACGTACGCGTAGGGCGTGGGCGTGGGGTAGGCCTAGGGAAAGGGCCCAGGGGTAGGCCCAGGGAAGGCCTAAGGGGAGGGCCTATGGGTAGGCGGGTAGGCCTAGGGTCGGCCCAGGGGAAGGGCCTAGGGGTAGGCCTAGGGCAGGCCTTGGGGAACTGCCTAGGGGTAGACCCAGGAGAGGCCTAGGGCCTAGGGGCGTAAGCGAGCGAGCACGCGTGAACCCCAACGGGCGGATTGTGTCGGGCGGGCGGACCCGAACGTGCGTGTCGGGTCGGGCGGGACATCAAAGTGTGGGGCATACACTGGCGGGCACGCGTGAACCCTAACTGGTGGGTCGGGTCGGGCGGGCGGACCCTAGCGGGCGGGTCGAGCGGGCGGGACATTAAAACGCAGGGCATACACGAGCGAGCACGCGTGAACCCTGACGGGCGGTTCGGGCCGGGCGGGCGGACCCTGACGGGCGGGTCGTTCGGGCGCGACATTAAAATGTGGGGCATACACGAGCGCGCACGCGTGAACCCTAACGGAGGGGTCGGGTCGGGCGGGCGGACCCTAACGGGGGTCGGGCGGGCGGACCCTGGCGGGCGGCTCGGGTCGGGCGGGCGGGACATTGAAACTGTGGGGCGAACACGAGCGAGCACGCGTGAACCCTAACGGGCGGGTCGGGTCGGGCGGGCAGACCTTCGCGGACGGCTCGTGTCGGACGGGACGGACCGTAACGGGCGGCTCGGGTCTGGCGGGCGGGACATTAACGTGTGGGGCATACACGAGCGAGCACACGTGCATCCGAACGGGCGGGCCGGGACGGGCGGGCGGAGGGGTGGGCCCCGGGTAGGCCTAGGGGAAGGGCTTCGGGGTAGGCCTCGGGCAAGCCTAGGGGTAAGTCTGGGGCAGGCCTAGGGGAAGGGCTTAGGGGTAGGCCTAGGGAAGGCCTAGGGTAAGGGCCAAATTAGGGGTAGACCTAAGGAAAGCCTAGGGGAAGGGCCTAAGCCCAAGGTAGGCCTAAGGGGAGGACCTAGGGGTAGGCCTAGGGTAGGGTATGGGCAGGCCTAGGAAAGGCCTTCCCTCCGGTTTCGGCAGTCGGTGGTCTTGAAAGAAACGCCTCTCTGCTTGGAGTAATTTCCACTTCCTCCACCACGAGCCTCAACCGATCCGTACCTGGTGTCTGTCGGAAGTGAAAGGGTGAGATCGCAGTGAAACGGAGAGCCCCCCACCAGGAAGTCGGTTTCGGCTTCGTGTTCGTGTCGTTCAGGCGGGCAAGGCGAAACTGCGTGGGCGAGCGAAAATAATGGACCCTCCTCTAGCTAGGGCGCCGCCGGACCAAAAGACCGCCCCCCCCCCCGATGTCCGGCGGTGGCCGGGGGGTTGCCTGCCGTGGTGTCCCGTCGTTTCCCGTCGGTGTCCCGTCGGTGTCCGGTCGGTGTCCCGTGGTGGCCCGTCGGTGTCCCGTCGGTGTCCCGTCGGTGCCACGTCGGTGTCCCGTCGGTGTCCGGTCGGTGTCCCGTTGGTGCCCCGTCGAGATCGATAGTGTGATCAGTAGTGAGATCGATCGTGAGACCGATAGTGAGGTCGATAGGGAGAT